AATTAAATATTTTCATTAGCGCGCCAAAATTTCTAGCGGTTATAGAACCGCTAGAAATTTCGGGGAAATTAAATTTTCCCGCCAATTAAATTTTTGGAATGGCGCTAAAAAAATTTCTAGCGGTTTGAACCGCTACAAATTTTGGAACCACGAAATATTTGTAGCGGTTTAGAACCGCTAGAAATGTGTTCCGTGCCAAAAAAAAAATTTGTGGTTTAAAAACCATTAAATAGATTATGTTGAAGTATTTTTGTTAATTTGTATAATTAGTTGTGTTACATTTTATATATTTAAATTTTGTAATAAACAATATGTAATTAAATTATGAGTGTGTCAAAGGAAGTGAATTTAATTTAATAAGATAATTAATGAAATATTTAATAAGATAGTTGAATTGAAGGTGAGATAGTTTGTAATATTGAACCTATAGTGTTAGGTTGAGGAGTATTTGAATCAGTTGAGGAGGACATGACAAGTGTGAGGAAGAGAAATCTGAAAGAAAAGGAGAAATAAAAATGTTAGTAAATTTTAAGTAAAAACAAATAAAAGATACAATGACTTATAAAATAAAATTCACTTACCATACAATAAAGAGAAAGAAACCACCATATGAGAGAGTAAGAAAAAAAGAGAGAATTATGAGGAAGAATAGGAGAGGAAAGAAAAGAGATGGAGTAAATGAATGTAGAGAAGATATGATATTTATAGAGATCAGCGACACATTTGTAGCGGTTTTTTTGTAGCGTTTTATTACATTTTGTGTCTGTTAGTCATTTTCTAGCGTGATCATATAAATCATGATCGGATAAATATACCCCACTATCCTCATAACCAATTTATTTTAAGAAATTACTGATAAAGATATAATAAAAAAACTGCCTCACGTTTCTAAATTTTTGGATTATAACTCTTCCTATAATTTATCAATTTATAAATCAGAACATATAAAATAATTTGAAAAAAGAAGAAATTCTGGGTTTGTTAGTTTAAACTAAACACGATCGTGTTACCAGCTAGAAACATGGGGAGAAAATGATAAAAAAAAAAAGTTAAAAAAGGTGGAATTTTTTTTTAATTTAAAACAAGCATTTATCTATTTATAGATGATGTCACGTGTCGTGCTGTTATCTAGGGGTGTTTAAGACCGATCCGTCCCGGTCGGCCCGTTCTGGTCCCGGTCTTATTGGGACGGGACGGATCCGTCCCGAAATTTTTCGGGATGGGACAAACCGAGACGGGACAAAAAATGGACTGGGACGGGACGGGACATGGGACGGGGTCGTCCCGTCCCGGTCCTTTTTTTTATTTTTTAAATTTTTATCCCATTTATATAATATTATTTTTTTCATATTTTTTAAAATTTGAAATTATTGTATGGAACTATGGATATATTATTTAGAATTTTTATATTTGTTAATGATTTGAGATTATTGATGATTAGAATTTTTAGCAAATTTTTATTGTGTTAAAAGCTTTTGTTTAGAGTTTTTAATGATTATTATATGTAATATTTTGAGTTTTTGTTTAAGATTGTCCAAACAAATAAAAAAGAAAATAAAAAGATGTTTTTATAAGGTTTAAGCTCAAAAAGACATATTAAAAAAATCAGATTTTATTAAAAAAGTTTTTAAAAATTTTAAAAAAAATAAAAAATTAAAAAATTAAAAAAAAAAGAGGTTCGGGACGTCCCGTCCCGACTGGGACCGGAACAACCCCGGGATGAGTCGGGACAGGGGACAGAAAATCTGTCCCGTTACTGTTCATCGGGACGGAACTGGGACGGGCCTATCCCAATTCCAATCCATCCCGTGAACAGCCCTACTATTATCAATTCCTGCCCTGTATTCTCGTTTTATATATTAATAGATAATCAATTCAAAATAAAATCACGAATGGGAGTGAGGGCGTGGCATGAGGTGAATGAGAGACTGAGAAGGCGTGGTATGAGGTGAGTGAGGGCTCTAAAATGCTTTTTTTATTTTTTTCATTTCATGAATATGTGTTTATTAAAATTAGTAATTTAAGAAACCAAACAAATTTTTTATTATTTTTAAATTAGTATATATGTATTACAATGAAAGAAATCCAAAAATAAATATTTTCATTCAACGATAAAAAAAAGGAAGAAAATCAAAAAAATAATTGTCAATGAACTTCGAAAAGCACGAAATGATATAACACGATGGATGTATGCGGGGGTCAGGAGGAAAAGATGGAAAAACGTGTTGTCAGGAGTTATGGGGGAAGAGATGGAATATTGTCAGGAGTCAGGAGAAAAATATGGAAGAACGTGTGGTCACTAAACAAAGGCTGAGCAACAAAAACTGTTTAATAGGGACTGCCTTCTGTCTACTATAAATGTATAGTGCTAATGACTGATTATTAATAAATTCTTATATAATTTTAATAATATTTATATTTATCATCTTTTAATTAGAAGTTTAATAATAGAAATATAAATAGTTAACAATAGTTATATTCTATATATTACTGTCAAGATAACTAATTTATAAATATTTTAAAAAATAAATTAAATTAACTATTTATTAAAAATGTGTGTCTAGAAATAGTTTAAGGAATATTTTGAATTAAATAAACACTTTTAATATTTATATCTAGAATTGCACACACATGACGCATACTTTTTCTTGGTAAAACGGCCCCCACCGCTTTGCGCATGACTTTGAACAGGGAGTGCAAGATTGGGGAAATATCGGGGGAAAGGCTACAACCCTACAAGACCTAAATCTTACAGCTGTCTCCCTCTTTTCTCTGTGACCTCCTCTGCAACTTTTGAATTTGTGAGCGCAAAAGTTGGTAAATTTGGCTTTTCATTTTATTTATTTTTATTTTAGTTCTTTGAAAAATTATATACTTTATTTTTTTATCTCTGAATGTTTGTAACATTTTAAATAGTTTACTAGTATTTTAATTGATTTTTTTATAAGTATTTAGCTTTAATTACAAACAAAATAAAATAGAAAAAATGGAAGAAAATATAATAATTTCTTGTCCTATTTTTCTAAGTAATAAAGAGCATTTCAAACTAACTGAATGATACTATCTCTTGTTTTAATTATAAGAGTTAGTTGACTAATTTGAGGAAATTAAGAAAAAAAGTTAAGTTAGTTATTTGTAGTAAATATGTGTTGCTTTTACTAAAATATTTTTGCTAATTGAATATATTGGCTAGAACTTATATTGTTAGAAAAACTATCTTAAAAAAATGTATAAATATGAGAGAGAAAATGGATTATGGTCTTATATTTAAGATTAAAATAAAAATTAAATAATGTTTTATATTAAGAACTGGAGGTAGGACTAAAAAATTTAGTACTAAATATAATAAAAATAAATTATTAAGTCTAATTTTTGAAAGAATTTGTGAAATGCTAACCGAAGTAATTATAATGGTTACGCATTTAGAGGGCTAAAAATATATCATACCAAAACGATATGTACTTTAATTAGTATATAAAATTATTGATCCACGTAAAATTTAAAATTTTGATAGATATAATTAAAATAATGAACACGGATTGGGATGAATTTAGTTGCAGCATCTTATTCTCTTCGCAGAACTTCCAGATCGGAGAAGCATTCGGAGCGGGCTCCGCGTTCATTTTGTTGGCAGAAACGATCCAATCCATTCGGGGAACCCAAAAAACGATAGATATCTCTTGGTTGTGACTGGTTGTGATTTCGTGTATGTGTGTATGAGAGACAGAGCATCATGTGGGTTGATCAAACCCGGTGAGTTGCCGTCGTCCCGTCCGAAACCCAACCAAGCTTGTTGCCATCGATGAGTTGCCGTCACGCCTTCTGAAACTCCAATCAACTTGTTGCCAAGGTGAGTTGCCGTCGCCCCTTCTGAAACTCCAGTCAACTTCGTGTGGGTGTGTATGAGTATGGTTGTTTGCTTGGTTGTGACTGGCTGTGGCTTTGTGTGTGTGCGTATGACAGACAGAGCATCGTGTGGCTTCGTGTGTGTGTGTATGAGAGACAGAGCATCGTGTGGCTTCGTCTGTGTGGGTATGAGAGGCAAAGCACTGCTGCTGAAATTATTCTTATTTGTTGATCTTATTTTCTTTTTCTTGGATTTTATTTTGGAGATAGAACACTGAAATTTTTCTCACGTATTGTAAATGTCCTGTCGCTATTGCATATACCGGTTTTCCACAAAGGTGAAATTTTTTGGAATAAGAGTAGCTGAAACTAGTATTGTTTGGATTTTTTGTTCACAGTTGCTGCATTCTTTTGTTGATTAGTTCTCATTTTTTGTGCTTTATTGAAGACGGAGGATCTGTTTTGCTGACCTTAATGTTGTACTTCAATTAACTTGACATAAATGGTATAGAACATGTGGCTATACTTGTTAAATACTATACCTGTTATATCATATCTCCGAATTGAATGGTATGTTTTTTGGGTTGAACTTGTGATGATTGAAATGTTGTAATTGGTCCATAGCATCATGAGTAAACAAAATGGAAAAACTTCGTGGGATATAAAAGCCACAAAGGTCTTTATTAACCTATGCATTGAAAAAGTTGAGAAAGAGGAAAGAAAAGGAACTAGTTTGACCAAGCCTGCTTGGTCAAGTCTTGAGGACAACTTCACTGCAAAGACTGGGAGAATCTATACAAAAATCTAATTAAAGAACAAATTTGACTCTCTGTAACAGGAGTGGCAGTTATGGGATAGGCTGATAGGCTGTTCCATGAGACAGGTTTGGGGTGAGATGCTGAAAAGAATACTGTTAGTGCCCCTGATGATTGGTGGGAGAGGAAAATAGTAGTAATCATTTAACTTCATTTGAGCTTGCAATTTCTCTGATATTAACATTTTTTTCATAATAAATAATATTTTTGGTATTGAATTCGCAGGAAGTTCCATGCTACGAGACATTTAGAGAAAGAGGGCTTCAATTTTGGGCTGAATTAACTCAACTCTTTGGGTCTGTCGTTACAACTGGATAACAGTCATGAGCACCTTCTTCCATGACCTTTCCAAACGAAGGAGTTCCTGAAAATGATATGGAAGAAGGGTTTGGAGATAGTGAAGAAATATTGGGGGCACCAACTGGCATAAGCGAGGAGTTTAATTCGGCCACATTCAATGACAATAGTGAAGGAAGTAGAAGCAACACTGGGATGAGACAAGAAAACACTCGTGCGGGTAAAAGCACAGGTGGCAGTCGTCCTAGTAGTTCATTAGGGGTTAGAAAAAAGGATGAATCCATAAAGAAGAAGAACACTGCCACTATGAAAATAGTGGATGCATTAAGCAAGATAGCTCAAGCAAATGAAAATGATTCTCAGCGGGAACATGAAAAGATTTCAGAAGCACGTGTTTATGAGACGTCAATTGCGGGAGTCATGGAGCACCTTAACAAAGTTGATGAAATTGTTGATGATCCTGATTTGTTTGGCCGGTGCACAACACTCCTTATGGACAAACCAGCTGCAAGGGAGATGTATGTGGCTCTGAAGAACAAAAGGGAAAGACTCCTGATCTTCTTGAAGCACGCAACTAAATATTGAGACTTCATTTGTATTGCTTATCATAGTATTTGACTACTTTTTGTGTTACTCGGGAGATAACTGTAATAATTTGCATATATTTTTGAGAATGATGTAACCAGCACTATTGTATGTGACTGCTAAACTTCTTTAGGAATTAGACAACTTATTTCCTTGTTGGTGGATACGTTTCTCTTCATTTGTGTAAAGAGCTCCGGCATACAAGTATTCATACAGGCAAGGCATGGGTAAGGGACATTTTACAAGGCCATTCCACTTGTTATAACATGTTTAGGATGGAAAGGGAAGTGTTTTTCAGTCTTTGCACAGAATTGCAGCAACACGGTCTTAAGGAAACTAGAAATGTTTGGATACATGAAATGGTTGTAATGTTTTTAAATACCGTTGGCTATGCGCTTAGTAGATGGATGCAGCAAGAAAGATTTCAGCATTCGGGGGAGACAATTAGTAGACATTTTCATAATGTCTTACTGGCATCCTATAGACTTGCTATGTCCAATATCAAACCAAAAGATCCAATATTTCAGCATTTGTATTCAAAAATACAGCCTGGTGGTCAATATTAGCCCTTTTTCAAACATGCTATTGGAGCAATTGATGGAACACATATTTCATGCATTGTTAATGCAACTGAGCAAACAAAATTTGTTAACTGAAAAGGAAGAGTGACGCAAAATGTAATGGCGGTTTGCGATTGGGACATGTGCTTCACTTTTGTATTAGCCGGATGGGAAGGTAGTGCGCATGATACTTGTATATTTGACCACGCTCTCACAAATCCTTCCATGAACTTTCCCCATCTGCCTCAAGGTATATTTTAAATTGCTACAATTTATTTATGCGATACTGTGAGAAAACAAAGTTTATTGACATCAATCATATATTTCATGTAGGCAAATATTATTTGGTGGATGCTGGCTATCCGACACCCGTGGGATACCTTGGTCCTTACAGACGTGAACACTATCATCTCCCTGATTTTCGAAGGTCATCTGCACTTGAAAATGATAATGAGGCGTTTAATTATTTGCACTCAAGTCTACGAAGCACTATTGAAAGAACTTTTGGAGTTTGGAAGAGTAAGTTTGTAATTTTAGGAAACATATCGAGCTATGACTTTCCAACACAGGTTCAAATTGTTTGTGCAACGATGGCCATACATAACTTCATTAGATCAACATCCATTTCTGATCCTGGTTTCATTCAGTTTGAACAAGAAGGCTCTTATGCAGAAGAAAATAACGACGATGATGGAGTTGGATCTTTACATATACCTTCATCAATAAAATCTTCATCTCACATGGCTCGACTTCGTGACTCCATAAGAGATCAAATTGTTCACTATATACGAGAATAGTCATGTCTTTTTTATTTCCTTTTTTCTTTTCAGATAATGTAATGTGTTGTTAAAAAAAAAGTACTTGGACAAATATATTTTGTTGCAACATCTATTATTAAGACAATTGATATGAAATTTTTTGTGTGGTTCTTTAATTTTGTGAAAAAAAAATTATGGGATTTTTTCATTTTTAAAATCTCTAAGAAATGATCATATTTTTTGTTGGCAAAATATATTATTTTACAAAAAACATATTTAATTACTTTATTAATATATATACGTATTAATTTTAATTATTTTATTAATATATATTCTTTATTAATATATATACATATTTAACTATTTTATTAAATTATTTTACAAAAAACATATTAGTTTATTTTATTAATTTATATACGTATTAAATTTTTTATTAATATTATTTATTTACTTCAAATAAACATATATTATGAAATATATCTTCTATGTAATTATCATTTAAACTTATGTCCTTTTTATAATTTCTACATGTAAAAAGCACTTCTGACAAAACCTATCCAAACACTTTCACTTTATCGAAATCACTTTTTCAGAAAATCTATTCTTTCAAAATCTATTCTCTCTAAAATCAATTCTCCAGAAGTTATTTTCTAAACTATGGTTTTGCTTCATCCAAATACCCTTTTAATAGGACAAACCCCTCACGAAGTGGGGCGCTGGTTCAGGCAGACGGTGATTTGTGAACAGGGACGTGTCATTGGTGGGAAGCGGAAAGTGTGAAGTAGTGGGAGGACGGTTGAAATGGGCCTGGAATGGCTGAAAGCCTGAAAGGTGGAACGTCGGGTTCTGTTTTATAGTGCAAGAATTTATGTTACTATTTTTTGTTTGCGCCAAGAATTACTAAAGCTTTTTTTGTTCCTATATACAAGTAATGAAGGTTTAGTGTTTTAAGTAGGGGGAAATCTGCAATTAATTTGAGACTAATTTAATACTTTAATCAATTATTTAAGAATGCCTTATAATGAGCACCAAATTTTGATATTATTTCAAAACAATAGTTAGGACCTAATTAGAGAGATAAATATTTCATATAATTATGAGCTTTTCTCTAAATTAATCCCATTTTATTTATTTCTGATATTTTAAAAAATATGATATTATCTGGTCAAATTAATTAATTAGTTGGGTGTTATATTAACATTCAAAAGAAAGACGATGCGTCATGAGAGGCGGCTTAAGAAAAGAAACAAAAAGAAAAAGATTCCAACTTCCAATAGCTACTTTCTCCTCTTTGAATGTGTTCCGCTGCTTTGCTTTGTACGAAGAGAAATGACTAATGAGAGAAAGAGAATTAATAAAATGATGCAGTGAATTGAAATACGCTAGATGGAAGTATTTACCCAAATTCATACGTTACTAATAGTGATAAAAGGACTATGAATCCTTAGCGTAAAAAAAAAATAAAAGCTTGTTTGGTTTTTCATTTTGAAAATAATTTCTAATTTTTAAAAACAGAAAAACAAAAAAACTTTGTTGGCAATTTGTTTTTAATTGATTGTTTTGACAAACAAAAGAACAATAATATATTTTTAAAAACTGAAAAACCAAAATAATTTTTACAATTTTTATTTTTTGAAATATTTTTTTTTTAAATTAGAGAAATCTTCTTTTCTTCTCTTTTACTACCTACTACTTATTATTACTGGTAATAACTACCACTTATCAAAATATAATTTTTTATTTTTTTAAATGTGATTTTTTAATCCGGAACAACAAAAGCAGGCTTTTCTAATGCACAAGAAATCATCAGATAAATTTACAATTACACAACAAACTTCCCAATCTAATAATTTTTATACAAACCCCCTTCTGAGCCTTATAAAATCTCCTCTCTTCTCCCCTTGCAGCCTCTTATAACTTGAATACCGCTGCGTGTTTACACTCGCCTTCGCTTGGATAGTTGCTGCTGTCACTGCTTGTAACGTCTTAGGTAATTCATCACAACTTTTTTAGTTCAAAATATTGACATGCTTCTTTTAAAAGTTTCATCTTGCCCCATAAAAGCTGTAATTTCACCTAATGATCTTCTGAGTATGTCCAGTCTATATAGTTTTTCAATAATACGTTGGTTTTCATTTACTAGTTGACTTACTAGTTGACGTTCTTCAATTCTATTAAATAAATATAAAAATTTCTCATCATCTTTATCTTGTTTCCATATCATTTTATAAATTCCCTCCTTGTTTTCCTGCAAATATAAAATTATAAAATAAAAAAAAATAAACATAAAATAAGAACTAACACAGATAACAAATATACTTACATCATGTCATTTTTTATATATTTTTTCAAGTTTTTTAATTTTTTGACAGGTATAAAACAATCCTCGTAGTCAAGAATGTTTTTTTAACCATTGTCTAATCTATTTTGACCGTGTCTTAAAATATCAATAAGAAATTCGATAACAGTGATTGCTATGACTTATTCTTCTACAGTATTAGACGATAATTTCACCTAAAAAAGAAAGAACTGGACAGAAGGAGATGAAAGAAAGCAAAAGGCAAGTTATAAATATTGAAAGTGAAAGAATAAAGACCGTAATAAAATCTAATATATATATATACTCACAGAACACGGAAGACTTTGTATATATGAACGACTTTGTGTATGTTTTTTGCATTATCTGATGCTTCTAATAGGTTTTACGTTTTCGTTCGTTCCACACTTGTAAAACTAAATTTGTTGAAATCCAGATGAAAACCAAAACATTAAAGACTGAAACTTATACTGGTTGAAAACCGAATCTGTTAGAAATCCAATACTTTGACTAAGATACATTGTTAGATAAGAAAAAAAATCTAAAACAATAAATAAATTTACTCCTGTCATAAAAAAAATAACATTATTAAATATTTTTTTAATAAATACTTTCATTTTATTTAATTAATTTAATTAGATTAAACAGGTTAGATAAACAAGTCAATTATAAAAAATATGATATATTTTTTTAATATATTTTCTTCATTATAATTAAAAAAATATAAGTAATAATTCTATTAACAACTATTTTTGTAATTTATGTTAGTTTATTAACAACTAGTGCAAACAACTAATGTCACCCTAAATTATATTAACAAGTAGTATATAATTTATTAGATGAAAAGAAAGTTTAAAAATTAAAATAATAAATATATTAAATATTAAAATAAATAATTAGTTATAGGTAATTTCATAAATTTTTTTCACAAGTTTTTTGAAATTTGTTTTCATAATTTTTTAATTTTCTCTCCCTACAATCTTTTCCATTATTCTCTTGCTCTCTTCTTGTCTTGTCCTTCTTTTCTTCTTCTTTTTTTTCTCTCACTCTTAGATCTTGTAAGAAAATGGGCCAGTCCATCCTTGGTGGATTGGACCCAAGCCCAGTATCATTTGGGGTCCTGGTGCAAATAACAAGACTTGTGGGTCTTAAAGTGCAATTTTTGCCCTTTAATATATTTTGCCAACAGCGGGAACAGTTATGTCGAGGGAGGCAGTTTTCTTTTTGAAAATATGCATGGAATAAGTTAACCGTAGCATCAGTTATTGGCACGCACGTTCGGTTTTCATTTCTCCTCTCCTGCCTTTCCAGTCTCCTCCCTCCCTCTCTGCAAAAGCTTTCCCTCCGGTGCATTTGCTGTGTCTC